TACAAATAAAGTTATTATTATTAATATTAAAAGATGTATTTATGGTGGACACAAGTATCTGCTTTTTTCTGGTATAATTGCTGGATAATATCATTATTTAAGATCAATCCACTGGTTGTAAAGTATAAAAGGTACTTAATATACAGAATAAAGGCCCTTTGTGGGGGATTTATCTTCATACATAACATACTTAGCTGACAGATAAATATAAATGCATTTAAAGTAAAATACTGGCACTGTCCTCTTTTTATTTATAAATTAAGCTCTTTAGTAGTTCATTATACACTTTAATAGAGATGTGATAACTGTCTGCAAGAGGAAGAGCATTAGTTTGGTTCATAAATCATCCCTGTAAGATATATTTCTAAAATAAACCCAGGACTAAACAAAAGTAAATGGTAATGTTAATACAACTATCAGATTTTTAGACATGTCAAATTTATTCCAGTTGTGTTTTTGTGATTCTTCTTTCCCCTACATTTTGTTATTTGTTGTACAATTTAATTTCCTGTAAACTAACTCATATTATCCACGAATTAACATTAACTGCATTTTCTCGATGAAGGCGGTTGACGCAACGTCTTTTTTTTACGAGACGCCATTAATAAAAAAAACAAAAAAAACAAAAAACTGTACTTTATAAACCCGAAATAAGAACAGTTGTTAATATTTATACGCCAACGTCCACCTTGTTGTTTAGTCCACTTTATTTTCCCCAATCAGATCTTTATCTTTTTTTTTTTTTTTTCGCCAGCCACTCTGTATGACGACAGTCCGCCATGTTTGTTTCTATGGCCGTTACGCCCCCCCTCCACTCGGTTTCTTCCCGGCGGCACAATCTCCCCCAACTGCAGCGTCTCTGACCCGCGAAACGAACCGTGATGATCGACGTTAGTATGAAACCGTTACGTCAGTTACGTCCAATATAAACCGCTGGCTCACCCTTGCGTCGGTTACGTTCATGTAAACCGTTGGCTCACCTTACGTCGCACACTCCGCTCCTTGGTGTAATGTTCTTCTTTTGGCTCTCCGAGAACATCGACAGCGGTCTTAATGGCTGTCTCCACGATGGACTTTGTTTCTGAATGAAACACCAAGTTTTCTGACATTTTAACGTTAAAAGTTAACCGCCAGCAGCGGCGCAGACAAATAGCCGGACAGTTAGCGCCATTGATTCCGGAAATGGAAGTAGCACAGGGGTTAAATCCTCCTTCAAAATAAAACTCTAACAGCTGCTTCGATTGCAAATATTATTTTTTTTTAATTGCAATAACAAACCAAAAAATACATATGTACAGTGCCATTTTAAAGAGATCTGTACATTTAAAAACTAATTTTACAATTCCAATTTTTACTTGAAAATAATTAAATCTTAATGGCATTCTATCAGTCTATTGTGAATTAGCAAACATAAATTAATACAAAACAAATCTTAACTTCATATCAACACACCTGGTGAAGAGAAATATGAGTTACTTTCAGCAATTGAAGTCCTAAAACATGTCTTCAAAACAATAACCAGGCATCCTAGCTGCATTTATCTTCACACTATCTTTACAGAGGTAACTTACTCTCAATACCTCTTCTTGGGGTTTCACTTGTGTAACTTTGTGATTTTTAAATGACCTCAGTGTTTTATATAAAAAAAAAGGTACACAGTAGCATCTGTGTTTCAATGTTTTCAGTAGCTGAACAAAAAAAAAAAAATCTGACTATAAATACCACAAACAATGCTGCTAACCCCTACTGTGAATCAGAGTAGAGCTGTGACTACTTTTACTATCAATTACTGATTTAATTACCTTTGATTAATCCCTTATCTCTAGCATATCAAGACTAATGAGTCATGTGAGAGTTACCAGAGCCCTTAAGTATTTAAACTCCTTTGTTTACCAACTGTCAAAACAAAAGCTTAAAGTTTAAAAAGACAAACAAGCATCCCTTTACTACTGTGAAGCTATCACAAGCAAATGTTTTGTATTTTTTACTTAATGATTGCAACAACTGACCATAGTTTTCAAAACTGGAACTGTACCAGCTCTCAATATTTTCAGCACAAAGGCACTGAGTCACACACAAGTCATTTTGTTTCCCTTAATGCTGCTGTCCCATTTATGACTTCATTAGATTAACCAGCTGAGCGTTCGGGTGGATGTCACGGCACCACGCCACCTATGAGCCGTCACAACTGTGCTTCTTGAGCTGCCTGGAGTCAGAGAAGCCCCGGCTGCACTGCTGGCACGTGTAGAGCTTCTGCCCGGTGTGGACCTGCATGTGGGACTTGAGCTGATTCGACTGGTGGAACTTCCTCTGACAGTACATACATTCGAACGGCTTCTCCCCCGTGTGGATGCGCACGTGTCTGTAGAAGTTTCCGTCTGTCCTGAAGGCCTTTCCGCACTGGTCGCACTTGTACGGTTTCTCACCGGTGTGAATCCGCTCGTGCGCCTTCAGACTACCGGCGTTGAAGAATCTCTTCCCGCACACATCGCAAACATACGGCTTCTCCCCCGAGTGGCTCCTCTGGTGATAACTGAAAGAGTATTTGTTATGGAAAGACTTCGCACATATGCTGCAGTTGAACTCCTTCTGCTCACTGTGGCCCTTTTCATGAATTTTGAGAGAAGACGCGGCGCTGAAACCTCTCAGACATATTTTGCAGCTGAACGGTTTCACCGAGGACTTGTTTCGCCCTCTCGTCTGGAGAAATCTCTGTGTGCCGTCGGACTCCTCGTTCCTGTCGGCGTGCACGTACCTCTGATGGATCAGCAGCCTGCAGTTGAAGAGGAAGGTCTTCCCGCAGAGATCACACATAAACGGTTTTCTGGCCCCGTGGATGAGCATGTGGGACTTCAGCTTGGTGTTGTCCGAGAAGCTCTTTCCACACTCCTGGCAGGTGAACGGTTTCTCTCCTGTGTGAATGCGAAGGTGCCTCTTGAGGTTGTTATTGAGGCTGAACCTCGCTCCACATATGTGACAGGTGAACGGTTTCTCCCCGGTGTGGACTATGCTGTGTCTTTTCAGAGCGGTGCCGGTCCTGTACGACCGGTTGCACACGGTGCACTTGAACGGAGTGACGCCCGTGTGTTTCCTCTTATGCACAGTCAGGGAGTGCGCATATTTGAAAGTCTCCTCGCACATTGTGCACTTGTATTTTTTGGCGTTCGTGTGCACCATCTGGTGGAAGCGAAGGGTGTCTTTACTCTTGAACTCCTTCCCACATGTTGCACAGCTGAACGGTCTCTCCTCGGAGTGCACGGCCATGTGACATTTCAGGTGAACCGACGACTTGAAGGTCTTGTCACAAAGCTGACACTTGAGCATTTGCTTCCTCTTCTCGTGGCGCAGGAGGTGGTTTTCCAGAGATGGTTTAATCCGGAACGTTTTCCCACACTGATCGCAGGCGAACGGCTTTGGTGGTTTCGACCGCTCGTGGCGCTTCAGGTGGTTCTGAAGCGACTGCTCTTTTCTGAACGATTTCTTACACTGAAGACAGGGGAAGGGCAACGGGGCTTTACTCGCCTCGTGACGCAAAAGGTGATTTTCAAGAGACTTCTTTTCGAGGAAACTTCTGCCACACTGCTCACAAGGAAAAGGCTTCTTGTGGACCTTCATGTGTTTCTTCAGTTCGCCTTTCCAATGAAAACTGACGTCACAGTGGTCACAGGCGAACCGCTTCACTGTCCGCGACTCTTTGTTTTTAAACCTTCTTCCCGACACTCCAGCTGACTGGATTTGTTTCTCTTCAGCGCTGTTGTCGGAAACTGGAAATGGAGGAAAGAA